TTTCTCAAAGGCACGAAAGGATTATTATTTCATCCTTCAACTACTTTTTAATAGAGATCATGCGAACATTATTTAGCTGGAGCCGTGTTGCTTCTGGCGGAAACACCGGGTGCCCTTTTTGAGTTTATACCTGAGGCTGGTCCCTATCGGCCACTTTGTTCTCTAGATGAAAAGGTGACTCAATTTCCATAGAAGAAATGGTCTGATGGTTTCAACCAATTCAAGAGGGAAGGAACATAGCTTTGTGACATTAATACTCTTTTTTAAGCAAGCTGCCCTAGGGGTTTTCTTTGATTACAGCCTCTAAAATGGGTTTAATGTCTAAATGTTGACCTTTACCAGGTATCTCGTAGATAATAAATCATCTCCAGGTGGTCCCATATTTACTGAGATACACCACCTCCTATGTACGCCTTGATTCTTTAAGCCACAAAACTCTCTTAACTTTACCTCCTGAAAACATCCCAAGGAAAATAATGTTTCATTCCTTTTCGCACCTGCAAATCCCACAGCACACAATGTAGAAGCGAAAGTCTATGCTGCATGGTGGAGGCTGGAGTGGATCTGACTCTTTTTATGAAACAGTTTCTTCAGTTCCTGTTCCTTAGTAGCTTTTCCCAAGAATTATGTTAAATTTATTGGAATACAGGGTACATTCATAGCCACAAGATTTACATTTTTTAACCATGCAGATCACCGTCCTGTTCTCTTCAAGCTAAAAGTTAGATCACTGGGTCATTGCTTTGACACAGTCTGCCATCGGGTAACCCCTCCATCCTCACTGCCACACTCAAGTTGAGGCCTCTGTCATCTCTTGCCTGCACTGAAGCAGCAGCTTCCTCCTGGACTCCCCGCTGCCAGCCTCAGCCCCTCTGAGCTGGAGGAAGTCTGGTGGTGGGACAAATGATGGGTGCAAAGTATTACTCCTTCCCAGTAAATTCAAGAAAAGCAAGATGCTGCAAACGGTAAGGAAGGATTTGTAGGCACAGGTTCAACATGCCTTCCTCTACTTGTGAATTTTTATAAGTGAAAACACTTGCCAACAAGCAACTTTTCATTCTGACCAGTGGGGCACCAGCAAGAGATTAGGTTTCTTCTTCTTTCGAATGTTATGAAATTCATTTAAGATTGAGGTAAGGCTCTCTCTCCTTACTGAGAAATTGATATTGAACTGGACCTTACGCCCAAAGGCTACTAATGCTCTCTTCCCACACCTGAGCTCTACGTAACAATGAACTGTTCAAAGGCAGGTGGCCACAGGCCACAGGGTGTCTTCAAGGACCTGGACTGCCAGACTAGTAATACCCATTAACCTTGACGAGCCACCTGAAGCAGCACTCAGCGCTAATGTTTATATTGTCCCCCCTGGGGAGTGGGAGGGAACATGGCAAGTGGAGTGGCCACACCACCCTTGCTCTGCCCTCGTGGTTCTGACCAGTGACGCTCTGAACCTAGCTTGTACCAGATGAGAGAGGTGATCGCTACGTTTTCAGGAATTTTGTGAGCTCGTTGTTAAACACAGCCATTATTTAAAAACTAAGTTATCCATTTACAATGAAACAAATTATAGAAAAACAAAGGCAATGATGGCTCAAAACTCATCACTTCCTAATTATCTTACTACCCTTTACAATCAGCTCTGCTCTTGGGGTCACTTAGCTCTCTCACATGAGCATGGAGAAAACGCCCTCTAAAGGTCTGCAACTGGTCCTCTTCCCATCTCCACCTAAGGGACAGCATGTTGGTGGCCTGAAATCAGCCATGGTGGGAAGAACTAACAGAAATCAGCAAATGACACAAATGAGGGTTTCCCACCCCCCTTCACCAGAAAGGGTTGTTGAACATTTAAGAGCACACAGCACTGGCTCTCACCTACCTCCCATGCAGAGCTGTCAGGCAGGAGGCCCCACGTACTCCTCCTGGGGTGTAGCTCCTGGGGGCAGCAGTGGGCTCAGGAAAAGTCATGTAACCCAAGCAGGGCCAATCAGAGGTCTTGGGAGGAGAAGTCAGTGTGGATAATGGCAGAGGAAGAATGTCTCTCTCTTTGAGATGGCAAACTGGAGGTACATTTATGCCTGGAGTAACTAGGGATCTTCACGATGGGGGAACCTATCAGAAAAACACACACAAAAGGAAACCAGAGTGAGTGAGAGGGGTGGGGGACTCTTGTGACATCACTTGGGCACCTAAATCCGGCTGTACCTGAAATGAGACCAATTCCTGGAGTTTTC